GACCCTGGTGACAAGGCTTGTGAGGGTCCTACATACGCTATGTTTCGCACCCTTAGAGCACCCCCCACCCCTTCCTTCCTCTAACTCAACCATCTCGGCTTCTTGGTTCAGCAACGCTTGGGTACGCGAACGAGCGGAGTTCGTGGAAGACCTGCGCACGTACCTGAAGCAAGCATTCCAATGAGATGATTCCATTTGCATTCCAAGTAGCAAGCTTTCTCAATCTACTCCTTTGTTCCTTTTAACAAATCACCATCACCAGTGTGATGGCTCACCTAGTCTTATCTACCACATGGTTTATCAACTCAACATTCCACAAGTAAAAGCTACAATGATGCTTCGCCAACACAGGTTGACTGCCTTGTCACAGAGCCAATCAGCGTTTAGGGTTATCGTCATGGGGAGAGAGGAGGGTAGGGTTGGAGTTCGTGTCCATAAGGGGGGTTGCTCTCTCTCCCTCTGCCCTCTACTTTCTCCTCTCTCTCTCTCTCTCTCTCTCTCTCTCTCTCTCTCTCTCTCTCTCTCTCTCTCTCTCTCTCTCTCTCTCTCTCTCTCTCTCAAGCAGTCCTTTATTGCATGTTATAGCATGGCTACATGGCATCGGTAGGACAAAATAACCTGATCAAGGGCTATACGGTCGTGACCCTAGTTTTCTTCCAGCCCCCCCAGCATGGGGGCTCTGAGATCCGGCACTCCCTGGTCGCAGGCTGATTCAGTGGCCTGGTTATCCTTGGCCACGAGGGCGTTGCCTTGGCACCGCTGCTGCAGGATGGCCACGCACTGTCTGAAGTGTGCTGTTAGCTTGCTGGTGGTTCTGGTGTTGGGCTTCTCGCGGAACCGTACCTTGACTGAGTGTTCAACTAGCAATTTCAGAAATTCTGCAGCCGAAGGTGCCAGAGCCCCGTAGGTCTTTGCCGCTAGCCCAAAGAATCCCACATGCTCTGCCCGGGATCTATACTTCCTCTCCTTCATGTGGGCTGCTTCCTTAGCTGCCCACCCCGGTGGTTTCCATGCCTGTAGGTCTCGGCGAAGCAGGAACGTGTCGGTAAATGTTACATCTATGACCCAGGTGGCTCCTAACTCGGGGTCACGGATTGCTAGGTCTGCCCTCTTCTTACTGGCAGGTGAGGAGTACAGCGTTGTTTCGTGATAGGTAATGTACTTGGCTTCTCCCAGGATAGCATACACCAACACGTCATGTCAGCGCTTCCACCATGGAGCATCTATGCAGCGTAGTAGGTGGTTGGGTAGGCTGCAGTCTTGGATGTGTTCGCGGCAGACGCAAGCGCCCGGGACTGGGAGGGATAGTCCGAGATAGAACCCCAGGGCTATTGAGAATTTCCCTGGGGAGAGGCTGAGGTCGGGGCATATGGGGATGGCTTGGAGCCAGTCCCCTGCCCCTATTCCCCGGAGGCTGATGAGGTGGAGGACATAGCCGTTGTCGATGCCCGGCCGGTCTATGCGGGTGTCAGCCAGCAGCGTCTCCGTCCTGGCAAGGCACATTTCCCACGAGAGTTGCTGCTACAGCCTCCGACCCCCTTGGTGATTTGTTCCTCGAGCAGCAGACCCCTTCCCTCATCCTGCAGCCGCCTCTCCATGTTTTGCCTACTATTCTGTGGCAGGAGGTTGGCGGGTGTGGAGCGGAGGAGGAAGGTGACACGCCGAGAGATGCAATTGGAGAGGAGCAGCAGGGCGTGTTGTGGGTGGAGGCCCGCGACAAGCGGGAGCGGCTGCACTGCATTATGCATCTCGTTCTCCAGGTAGAAACGACAGAATGCCGGTGTGCCAACTAGGCTCCCGAGGATTCGCAACCCCTCTGTCAGCATTGGTACTCCTGTCGATGCTGATTCTGGAGGTAGGCCTGCTGGGCTCCATCAGGCATTTTTCTGCTGGTTGCAGCCTCGCCCGCTCTCAGCCAGTAGCAGGGTAAGTAGAGTGAAGGCTTTCCTGGCGTCCGCCGGCGGGCCTACGAGAGTGATGTCATCAGCGTACGCAATCAGTAGCACCGAGGAGAACACTCTAGCTGTACGGAGCAGTGCGGGTTGGATTGCGGCTGCGAAGAGGAGTGGGCCCATAGGACCCCCTTGTCGGACACCTCTAGTGTTGGTGAGTGCCGCTGCGCCATACCCATCGAAAGTGGTAGTGGTGACAGTCTCGCATACCGTGTTTTCGCTAGCGGGATGAGCGCCGTGTGGCCTGACCAGAGGAGGCTATAGAAGTAAGCAGGCCGCTCCACCTAATTGAACGCATGTCTGCCATCTATTGCAATGGCTGCGTGGTTTGGGTGGCCTTCAAGGTAGGTTTGGAAAGTGTGGATGACACATTCCAATCCCCTCGATTCCGCTATCCCAAACTGGACAAGTAGGAGGTATTGGTGGATTTCTATCTGAGTGACTGTAGCACTGCCTTGCCTACTGTTATGAGAATTCCTCCCCAATAGCTATGCAACTTATCCTCGTCTTGATTTCCTGTATGCAAGTAGGCGGCTGGGCAGGAGTAGGTCTCTTATCGAGTCGGCTCGCATTGTGCAGAGTAGGTGGTTGCAGGCTGAGTGGAGGAGTCTGCACACTTTGCTGTTCCACAGCGCTGGCTTGCGGAGGTGTTTGTAGCAGGTTCCTGATGGCCCTCCGCCCACTCCGTTTGGGCAGGAGGCGAGTAGTTGACGGAATTCATCATCGGCGATGCTGAGGCTAGACGAGACATGTTCTGACAGCTGCGCAAGAAAGGGTGTTACCGCAAGGGGATGTTTGTCCCGTAATGCCTCCCGGGTGGACTTGGAAGCAGTTGCGAAGGGGTTATGGCGGAGCACTGTTACTGCATTGGAGAGGTTCGCCTTATTGACTAGTCCTTATTCCCATGCGCGCAGTCCCTGTGCGTCTGGTCTGTGCCGCGTGGGGTTGGCGGGACATCATTGGTTTGTGCTTGTTGTAGTAGGTCTTCCCATGCGCCGCATCAGAACAGGTGGAACCGTATTTTTCATGATCTTCCAAACAAGTTTCGGGTTCCATCCTGGGTTTAGGGCGCGTATAAAGTGAATCCAACCGTGACGTCCTGTAACGTCACTGAGGGATAAGGGTGGTTACCACGTGTCAAGCACTGCAGACGTTCTGTCAGCGTTCATAGAAAAACAGCAAGCATCCGAGCTGACGTCCTGAGCCATTTCGGGTGTGCAAAGCACCGGGTGTGGATAGGAGACGAAAAAGAAACGCCTACTTGGAGCGAAAGCAAGAAAGTGGGCATTTTGTGCCAGCACAGTGACACGCCCTCGTTTTGCATTTTCTCGCCGTTTTTGCACGATACAATATTTTCCAGCTGAATCCATTTTGTCACAATGCGGCTCGGTAGCAGCTTTCCTAAATATACCCCCGGTTGTTTCTCATTTTCTCGTTGTTCAATGTGCATGCGTACCCTTCGGAATAAGAAATTTTGACGTATAGCGGACGTCCCCACGTGATGTGAAATAAGCTTAACAGACGTTGTCCGTTTACTTTATACACGCCTTAGGTTCAAGCGGGGTAGCAATAAAAATACCCACCATACGGCTAGATAGGTTGGATTTGTGGAAATTTGGAGGACGGGGGTCAGCAGGCAATGCATGCACTCTTCCGAAAAAATTGGGGGCAGGCGTCTCGGCAGGTGGGGTTGTCGCGGATGGGATAGCCGAGAGATATCCCATACCTCCACTCTTCGCCACCTTTTGTCGTCCGCTTCGAGTTATTCTGGCAAGAGAGTCGCAGGCTCGTCACCGTTCGCCGAGGCTGGAAATTGGTGCTGGGGCGCTCAGATGTTTCCCTCTACTCAAATGCGTTTGGCTCTCTGTGCAATTCGATGTCCGCCCCTAGTGACCTCCCCATCCGCACTAACTGACTCGTCTTCTGAGTCCGCTACGATCGATGCCCTATAACCTAACCCCTTGGAGGTGTCTTCCCCATTAGTTCTCCCCTCTGCTTCCGCCATTAGATCTCTCCCGTGCCTGTCTCTCCAGGGCCTTTGTCCCCGTTCCACCAGCTCTGCTTTCGCTTCCTCCTATCTTCCCTTTTAGTCCCCTCCACATCCCCTTCCGCCTCCCCCCCTGCGTCGTCCCCTGCCCCTCGTGCCTTCCCCTCCCCGTGGAAGAGCAAATTCGTCGCCTGCTTCCCCGGGGCACAACTCTCTTAGGCCCGTGTGCTCTGATCGTTCCGATGGAGCTGGACCTCCTGCTATCTTTGCGGAGCCACTTCTGTGTGCGGGAGGCCTAGCATTCCCCTGAGCTGCTCCCTCCATTTCCTGAGGGCTCGGCTCTCTCCCCGCGTCCTTGTGCGTATTGCCAGGGCGGCAGTTTCGCCCCACCGTATCGATGTTCTCCTGCCGCTGCTCACCCTCATGAGGTGATCCCCAGTGAGGTTGCATCACCTATGAGGTCGATGCGCGGGGTGCGTCTTGGCGTTCTCCTCCGGCGGACTCCATTTCTTGGTTGCACCATTCTCGCGACGTGCCACAATATAGTCCGGCCGAGTAGCTGCTTTGGATGGCGGACTGTCAAGGATGGCTTGCAGAGGTGATGGAGGTGCTGCATCTCGCGCTGACTCATCGCCCTCCTATCAGCGTGATCCAGTTTTATCATGGCGTCAACCTGCGCGGGTGGAGGAGGTGGCCACGCGGCTGTCATGGGGTCTGGAGTACGTCCCCCTTCCCTCGCATACGCTGGTTGACGAGGCCGCTGCAGCACCATTCGCAGTGTCAGCGCTCTCTCGTACGGTGGCGGGCAAGACCGCACTTGGGCTTGTGTCTGCCTCCGCTTCTGTACTCCACCCCATGCAGGGTGTCTTGGCTCAACTGTCGCTGCCGGTGTGATCTTCGGCATCTTCTAGTAGCATGTGACGGCCGTGGAGGGTAGTCTAGGTGATCTGTGCTCTATCCTTGCAATGTGTATTGCTGCATTATAGTAGGCTTTTAACTCTAAAGGTTTTTTGCCTCCCAACCCAGCGCGGCCTACGGCCGCACCGCGAGCGCCGGCAAGAAGGGCAGCAACTCATCTAAAGATTAAATTGAATGATGAGGAGAGAAAGAGCTTTGAGCTCTATATATACTCTCTCCTTCTCTCTCTCTCTCTCTCTCTCTCTCTCTCTCTCTCTCTCTCTCTCTCTCTCTCTCTCTCTCTCTCTCTCTCTCTCCCAATCTCTCTCTCTCTCTCTCTCTCTCTCTCTCTCTCTCTCTCTCTCTCTCTCTCTCTCTCTCTCTCTCTCTCTCTCTCTCTCTCTCTCCGCCCTCGCTGCTCTCCCCTTTCTTCCCCCCTCTCCGTTTTCCTCTCACTCTCTCTGCCCTTTCCACTCGGAAGGCGGCCAGAACCTGAGGGGAAGGAATGAGAGTGGTCGATTGAGGGAGGGAAGGGACGGAATGGACGAAGGAAGAAAGGGAAAAGGGGATGGTCGGGAGGAATGGAAGGCGGGGAGCATGGCGCCATCCCGTCCTCTCCCTAGACCCCTCCCGTCCTCTCCCCTGCCCCCTTTGCGTCCACTCCCCTTCCCCCTCCCATCCTCTCCTCATCCATCTTCCATCTTCTCCCCCTCCATCGCCCGTCCTACCCCCCTCCATCGCCATCTTCTCCCCTTCTCACCTCTCGTCCTCTCTCCTCCCCCATCTCGTCCTCTTCCCTCCCCTCCTCACGTCCTCCACCAACCCCCCCTCCCATCCTCCCCCTTACCCCCTCTCGTCCTCTCTACTCCCGCATGCTGTCCTCTAACCTCCCCATCGCGTCCTCCACCAACCCCCCCTCCCATTCTCCCCCTTTTCCCCACCCATCCTCTCCCCTCCCCCACGGGTTCTCTGCCTTTCCACCTCCTATCCTCTCCCCACCCCCCCACGCATCCTCTCCCTTTTCCTCCCATCCTCCCCCGTCCACCCTCGCGTCCTCCACCAATCCCCCTTCCCATCCTCCCCCTTCGCCCCTCCCATCCTCTCCCCTCCCCCAAAGGCTCCTCTTCTAATTCCCCCTCTCTCCCCTTCCCCCGTCCGTCCTCTCACGTTCCAACTCCTGTCCTCTCCCTTACCGCCATTTGTTTTTTCTCTTAGCAGGTACGTCATTTCCCCTCCCTTTACCCTCCTACTGTCTCTTCCCTTCGGGCATTTCCTATCCTATTGCCTCTTGCATGCACCCGGGGACATGAGGTGGACAGGGAGACGTTAGGCACGTCGTTGGACGGACTAGGTGCATCAGATGTCACTCACAAACGGAGCGGTGCCGACGTGGCGGGCCTGCGCGGCAGGTTCCACATTGAATGGCTTGCGCACTGGCCTGGCTGCGGTACGTGCGCGGTGCACTTGGCTGCAGAATTGCGCCGCACGATGGCGTGGGGAATGAGTGGCGGCTAGGCGCGGTAATTGGGCGGCGGAATTGGCATGTTTTTTGTGCGGTGGGCGCAACTTAGGGCATGGGTCAACCACAACGTTTTTCGCTGGGCGCCGCGACTTTGTGGTTGGCACTTGGAGGGTGGGCCCGTGCGCTGCCTACGCGGGGAGATCTCGCCCTGCACGCGTTTCAACCTCTGCTTTTTCTACGCATTAGCCACAAACTTAGTCTGTCTAGTTGCAAGTGCAAGCTAGTACAGGTCGTATGTGATTGGTGCAACGACGACAAGCGCAAAAATTTCTCTGCTGCAATTATTCCTTAGGTGCACCACCCATGTACGCACTTGGCCAATGAAAGCAGTCGCAGTCGCCGTGTGGGGCGTTTTTCGCCGCCGTTAGAGATGGGAGATGGTCGTGAGCGTCTATAACTTTGTGGCAAGTTTCCTGCCATAGGCGACGAATGCACCCTGAAACCTTCTGTGTGCGATTACTCGGGGCACCGAAATACATTTTGTGGCCCAACCGAAGGGAAATCTGTTATATTTTGGAGCCTGAAGTCCCGGAACCAGTTCCGGAATTGACGTTTTTTTTGCCCCCAAGCGTAATCGAAATCTACTGCGAAATTTGTAACCAGCCAGAGATCCGGAATTTGCCGGCTTACACACCCTGACTCCAAATTTGCAGCCCGATAATTGTAACCTGACAGTTTCACAACTGAAACTCAAACCAGCCCAATCAAACCCGCCACCCTCTCATAGCCCAACCCTCACAACCAAAACTCAGGTTTCTCCCAGCCCAATTCCAATATTCAGCCTAGATCCTACTGTTTCCTAACCCTATTTTATCTGGAGTAGATCCATGGCTTGGCCCATGTCGATTACGCCCTTGTCGCTAGACTGGTCCCTTCAAGCGCGGCAAGGCGTCTTCACGGATCTTTTTGCGAGCCATAGACCCGAGAGATGTACAGTGCAATGCAAGGAAGCGGAAGCTACAAGGCGATTTTCGACGGCGAAATGCGGAAAAAGAAAGCAGCACCTTGGGCGATGTGGGAGAACTGAGTATAAGAAACAGGAGCTCAGATACTGTGGTGGTGGCTGGTCGAATCCGACTGTCTGCCCGTGAACGCTGTCCCCACTAGTGTTCAAGAGATACATGTGTACAAGGTACGAGCTCCTTGCACGAGAGTACTAGCCCGACGGAAGTTGTGTCTGTTGGAAGACATTTCCTAAACCGACTTCTGGAAGCGAACTGGGCTTCGAGAAGGCGACTTAGTTCAAGGTTGCCGGCGGCTCGAACTCTGATGTGGTTGTTGGGTCAATTGGTCAAACCTAGATGCTTGAAGTTGAGGTCAGAGCCTACAGTCTTCTGATATTTTTTTCCCGATCTTAAGAAAAGTTACTAACATGAAATGGAGTGGTGAACGAAGATCGCAAATCGACGTTTTTGTTTCTCGCAAATCCATATTTTACCCTGTTATTTTACCAAACTCCGAAATCATATTTCTTTCCCGACCAGTGAGTGCCTGGATTGACTCTTTGTCGCATTATATCCACCAGACCACAAGTGTAGCGATTTAATGAATATCTATTGACACAACAACGAGGTTCTGACAGCCGTTGTGTCAGAACTGAGGCGCCTCGTCAGCTGTCAGTGGTTTTCCAATTCTCTCCTTGCTGCTGGTAGTTCTGAAATCTTCTTCCTAGCCTGATCCCACCCATATCTTTCTCACCACTGTTTTCACATGCGTCTGGTGGCCCTTGTGAGTTTCTCAGCTCCCCAGATAGTGAAAACAGCCACTCCGCTTTTCCAGGTCTCGTATTCAGGTGGGTACATCTTAGCTTCGTGTGATTCTGCATAGTTTCCGTCTGTTTTCAAGATCTGACTCTCCGAAACGCTGACGTTGCAGGCTGAGCTGATTGTATTGTTTCGCACGACGCTGATGTTTGCAACGGAGGCTGATTGCATTGTCCTGATCTACCGGCCAGTTGTTGAATGCAAGGCAGCACACATATTTGAGAGACTACACGAAGTTAGTTGTTAACTGAGAGGAGTGAATATCCAAGATAACAAGTACGTACTCTTTCATTTATCTGACATCCTCTTTCTTTGTCATCGTAAACATGAGTAGCAGTCTCAGGAAAGTGTTCACCTAAAATTTTACTTTCCCCTTGTCTGTCTCCGTCTCCTTTTCTCGATGCAAACACCAGGCACTTCCAGACCTTAGATAATCCGCGGGATTGACTCACATGGAAAGGCTGCAAGCTTCAGGTTCAGGAGGTGTTTGATTTGACAAGGAGCATCAAAGAAGAGTGCCAGGTCTTCACGCAGGCAGCAGGATCAGCAGCGCTCCCCAGCAACCCTCCCGTTCCCTCAGTCATGCAGCGCGGCTCCTTAACCTCGTCGCCCGACCTTCGCAATCCAGGCGGGGGTAGGCGAGCGCTGTTCAGGGATTTGACTTCCGTCACCAATCGCAGCCGTGCGACCTCCCTCAGTGTAACAACCCTTGCCCTTATAGCATGGGCAACAAAGGGTTGGAGCCAAAAACAACATCCAAGATCCTAGGATATAATAATGAAGTATAATTTCAACTAACGATCTCCTAGCATTGTACTTAGGAAGAATCCCCTCCAAAAGGTAGCTTAAGCTTGAGGAAAGCTCTTGGAGGATAGTGCGTGAGGCTCTGGTTGGGTAGGGCTTCCCCTAGGAGACTACACTAGAAGCTACTAGTATAGGAAGGCTTGTGAGGAGAGCTCATGACTTAGAGAAAAATCCCATTTCAAGATTGATTTCTTGGAGTGGGAAGTTGAGAATGATCTTCTCAGCCCAGGCCCCTTCCAATGACTCCCAGCAATTGCTCAACCTCCTCCATGGCTCCAAGGAGGTGAGCTAGCTTATGTGGCAAAGGGTTGGATTGCCAAACAATGAGAGGTTTACAATAATGTATTCAGATTAGCATATAGTTTACAGCATAGGAATATTCGAGTTGAGTTGGTATTGCCAACCAACTCCCTAATTCTGATTGGTCGCAAATCCAACCATCGCATGTGTTGGGAATTTCGCCAACTCAATTTGTACAACTAAAATCTTATTGGTCCCAAGTATCTACCAATCCCAATCCTCCCCTCCCAAACCTTCCTTCCCATCTCGTGCTACCTAGCATAGGTAGCCAATTTGTGGAAGGTAGTTGGGACGGTCGTTTCTAGGCCCGTGTACTGTGCAGAGGCCATGCGTTACACTCAGCCCGTTAGGCAGGAGAGCAGATGGCGATCTCGGCTCCAGCAGCAAGCACAGCAGCCGGGGATCGTCTCCCGTGTCCTATGGACGTTCCTCGCCCGGAGCACAGGCTATCGGTATTGGAGGGAAAGCGACGCCTGGCGGCGTAGCAGGTGTGTGATCGCGCTTGGCGAACGTCATTTCGCATGTGGGGAGCATAGGGTCAGATCCGCAAGCTTCGAAGCGAGGAGGAGCAGCGAGGTCATCGGAGAGAGGAACTGATGCGCGGAAGAGGCGTCTGTTTTGGGCTGCTGCTTCTAACAGCGGAGCTGGGACAGCCATTGCTGCTGAGAAGGCCAAGGAAGCTAGAGGCTTGCTGAGCCACCCGCCACTGGTACGAGCCACTATGTTTCTCAGCGCGGTTACCAGGACCATTCATCCTGTTGGCGAATTCTGCCTCTTTTATTTTCTGATGCTCTATTGCATGTTTAAGTGCCTTTCGCATACTGCTTTGCGAAATTATCACTTTCCATGTCTTCTGTGCTTCTATCATGCTGCCATTGGCAGCAGGCGGGGAAGGGGAAGGAGGCGAAGCCACGGTACGAGGGGCCTGACCCCGACCTTGCAGATATTCTGTCGAGGGAGGTGCTGAACTCGTCACCTTGCGTGCACTGGGCCAACATTGCAGGCCTCGCTGACACCAGGGCATTGCTGGAGGAGGCTGTCGTGCTGCCTCTGCTCGTCCCCGACTACTTTCAGGTGCACTGGAATGCCGTAAACCGGAGCTCTGCATGCTGTGCTGATGTTCCCCGTTGATCGCCGCTCCAATGCTTGCTTCTCATCCCTGTTGGGCAAGTGTTTTTTTTATGCTTGCTTCTCATCCCTGTCCTGCAAGTGTTTTTTTTTTCTTAAGGTATCGAAAAATTGTGCAAGTAACCACACCACTTTGCTGCCACTCCGTGTTGTGTCCCTCTACTCTCCAGGGCATCTGGAGGCCGTGGAAGGGAGTGCTGCTGTTCTGCCCGCCTGGCACAGGCAAGATGATGCTAGCTAAGGCAGTGGTGACTGAGTTCAGTGCGACCTTTTTCAACTTCTCCCCGGCCTCGCTCGCCTCCAAGTGGAGGGACGAGAGCGAGCGCATGGTGCGCTGCCTGTTCGACTTGGTGCTCCTGTACGCCCCGTTGGTCTTCATTGATGAGATCGACTCGCTCTGCACGTCAAGAGGGTAAGCGCAGTGCCCAGGTGCCCTTCGGAGAATGTATGTGGGCGATTCATAGTTTTGCTGTGCTGTCGTACATTTATTTTCTTCTAAGACTTTTCCTCCCCCCGTTTCTCCTGGTGTTTTCTTCAGTGCGGAAGGGCAGCACGAGTCGTCTCGGCGCATGAAGTCGGAGCTGCTGGTGCAGATGGTGCCAAGTCACCTGATGGCGAGCACAAGCTTGTCACCATGCTGGCGGCCACCAACTTCCCGTGGGACCTGGATGAGGCTCTGCGGTGAGTGAAGG